TTGCTGAGAGATCTGCTGTTAGTCTGATGGGGTTCCCTTTGTGGGTAACCCAACCTTTGTCTCTGGCTGCCCTTAACATTTTTTCCTTCCTTTCAAGTTTGGTGAATCTGACAATTAGGTGTCTTGGAGTTGCTCTTCTCGAGGAGTATCTTTTTGGCGTTCTCTGTATTTCCTGAATTTGAATGCTGACCTGCCTTGCTAGGTTGGGGAAGTTCTCCTGGATAATATCCTGAAGAGTGTTTTCCAACTTGGTTCCATTCTCCCCGTCACTTTCAGGTACACCAGTCAGATGTAGATTTGGTCTTTTCACGTAATCCCATATTTCTTGGAGGCTTTGTTCATTTCTTTTTACTCTTTTTTTCTCTAAACTTCTCACTTCATTTAATTCATTTGATCTTCAATCACTGATACCCTTTCCTTCAGTTGATCGAATTGGCTACTGAAGCTTGTGCATGTGTCACGTAGTTCTTGTGCCATGGTTTTCAGCTCTATCAGGTCATTTAAGGACTTTTCTGCATTGGTTATTCTAGTTAGCCATTCGTCTAATCTTTTTTCAAGGTTTTTAGCTTCTTTGCGATGGGTTCGAATATCCTCCTTTATTTAGCTCGGAGAAGTTTGAGTATCTGAAGCCTTCTTCTCTAAACTCGTCAAAGTCATCCTCTGTCCAGCTTTGTTCCATTGCTGGTGAGGAGCTGCGTTCCTTTGGACGAGACGAGGTGCTCTGATTTTTAGGAGTTTCAGCTTTTCTGCTCTGGTTTTTCTCCATCCTTGTGGTTTTGTCTTCCTTTGGTCTTTGATGATGGTGACATACAGATGGGGTTTTGGTGTAGATGTCCTTTCTGTTTGTTAGTTTTCCTTCTAACAGTCAGGACCCTCAGCTGCAGGTCTGTTGGAGTTTGCTGGAGGTCCACTCCAGACCCTGTTTGCCTGGGTATCACCAGCGGAGGCTGCAGAACAGTGAATATTGCAGAACAGCAAATGTTGTTGCCTGATTGTTCCTCTGGAAGCTTTGTCTCAGAGGGGCACCTGGCCATATGAGGTGTAATTTGGCCCCTACCGGGAGGTACCTCCCAGTTATGCTACTTGGGTGTCAGGGACCCACTTGAGGAGGCATCTGTCTGTTCTCAGATCTCAAACTCCGTGCTGGGAGAGCTACTACTCTTTTCAAAGCTCAGTTGGAAATGCAGAAATCACCTGTCTTCTGCATTGCTCATGCTGGGAGCTGTAGACTGGAGCTGTTCCTATTTGGCCATCTTGGAACCTCCCTCTTCATTTATTTGTTACAGAAATATTTACTGACCTCCTAATCTTCGTGCCAGGACTTTTGGTGAGTAAGACAAAAGGCTCTCATTTTCACTCAACCTCTCTGTCCCCATTTCTTGGACAAATTGTGTAGGACATTTTAACATTGAGCAAGTATTCATTCATTCATTCATTCATTCATTCATCCATCCATCCATCCATTCATCCATTCATTCATCCATCCATCCATTCAATATGTGTTTGAGTGTGTATAATACAAATACATTATTGTGAGATACTTAAAAAAGGACATCTCTGCTCTCAAGGACCTTGCAAGCTTGTTTGTTCACCAACCAGTCATTTATTTAAAAAAAAAAAAAAAAAAAAGTGCCTTGAGCTAGTAGGCAATGTGCCAGGTCAGTGCTAGGGAAATACAGAGATGAACAAGAGCATACAGTCGGTCCCTGGAGGGCTACGCCTCAGCCTGGAGAGGCAAGCAGCTTGTAACATCTTTGGAAGCATGCAGTGTGGTAAATGACAATAATGAGCTCTTCCCACTGTATTGCGAAAGTGCAAAGGATGAGCACAGAAGTGGAGTTTCCAGAATTAGTTCTGTGTGGGTGAAAGGTCAAGATGTGACTCTTAGTTGAGTCTGGAGAGAAGGGTTGGCTTGGAAAGGAGATTGGAGGGAGTTCCAATCAGAAGAAACAGTTTAAGTGATGATAAAGAGCTATAAGGCACGATGACAGCTTTACAAAACTGCAGATACTTTATTTTGATTTGGCCATGGAAGGTGGGGGTAGATGAATTCTAATGTAGTGAAACAATTGCAACAGGAATGTCAGTAACTAAGTCCTTGTAGTATTGGCACAATATGTAGTTCAATGAAACAGATAGCCCAGATATGGACAAACATACTATGTGATAAAGTGGATATCACAAATCAACAGGGTGTTAAGTAATAATATTGAGACGATTGATAAAGTATTTGGAAAAAAAATAGATTCTTACTCCAGATGATTTTTAGTTAGGGCTTAGGGGCTAGGCATTTAGAAATTTGAGAATTAGGATTGCTTTCTGTGAATTAAAATTTAAGATCAACAATTTAAGATCAACAGTAATTAAAAAATAAGATCAACAGAGGGTGGGTGGGTGTGTATATGTAAAACAAGTTATCTTAACCAAATATCTTGCCTACTGCCTACTGCCACCTCGTTGAATGTGTCAATCCTATGAACACGGCCAGCTTCATGGGCCCTGCACTCACGAGGGCCGTGCATTTGGTTTAATGCTCTGCTCTTGTTGTCCTTTGGAAAGTCTTAATTCCATATATGATTTTTTTTGTTTGTTTGTTTTGTTTTGTTTTGCACTAGGCCATACAAATTATGTAGCAGTCCTGCCTGTGAAGTTGGCCATCTCTGGGGACAGAAAGTTAGAGAGCTAAGCTTTAGAAGTAGATGTCCTTGTGCTCTCTAGAGAGTTGCAGCCAACCCAGTTAAAGTATCCTGGACACATTGGCAGGGCCATCCCTATAGAGTGCCTCAGGCTGTCCAGCTTGATGCCATGAAACATTCAATTTATTTAACAAAGTTTCCTGTTTCCCATTTCCTGCTCACCAAGCAATCTTTCAGTAGTGACTTGGCTGCTGCTTTGGTTTTCCAGCAGGGAGAGATCTAGCTAGTTATGCTGGTCCGATCCTTCATTCAGGAAGGTAGTTAGTAAATTGGCATTCTGATTTCATATGTCAGTGAGATTCTTTAATGTGAGCCTGCTTCTGCATGACTGGTCCATTTCTGTTACATTTCTGAGACTAAAGGCTGATGTCCAGGAATTATGCTGGTAAATTCACCAAAGCAGTCATGTGTAGAATAGTGGTTAAAAGCAAGAGCTTTGGAGTCAAGACAGACAATCCTGGATAAAATGTGGGTCCTGTCACTTACTAGGATGTATGATCTTGGCTTTCCTGTGCCCTACTCTTTCATCTGTCAAGTGATGACATTAACATCTACCTTAAGGTTGTTGTGAGGTTGAATGAGATGATGTACTTTCGATCAGGGTTTCTCAGCCTCGGTACTGTTGACATTTTGGGCCAGGTAATTCTTTCTGTTCAGGGCGGAGCGTTTGGTGCATCGTAGGATGTTTCCAGCATCCTTAGCCTGTACCCAGTAGATGCTAGTGGCATCCCTCTAACCCCCTATAGTTATGACAATTAAAATGTCACAGAGGCGGAATCCCACCTGTGGAGGGCACAATAGGACTTGGTTAAGAGTCACTGGTCCAGGTGTATAGAGTGGTGCCTGGGGGAAAGAAAGTGTTTTATGGTATAATAATGGGAATAGTGGTACCAAAGATGATACTACTTTCGATGCCACCCTGAGGGCCCTAGGAAGACATTTGTCAGCCTTTCATTTATTCTTTGTACTTAAATTTTTTATCTATGCCAGAATAAACTCCATGTAGATTAAATAGTACATGTAAAAAGCTCTACCTTTAAACAACTGAATGAAAAAAGAAGTAAATCTTTAGATTTGCAAATAAGGAAAGGGTTTTCGAGGTCAAAAGAAGTGATACTTCTGTGACGTTTAATGTTGGGTTTAAAGCACGTTGGGAAATTTTCTTTCCTCATAGATGTCATGACATTAAAAATAAACATGCATAATCTATAAAAACCTTGTAGTTATAATTGAAAAGCAAATTGGATAAAATGATTGAGTAATATGACAGATAAAGTGGTATGAAAATACTAATTTAAGTCAAAAAGAAAACCAGATATTTCCTATAGATAAGGACAAAGGAGGAAATACAGTCATCCTATAAACATTTGAAAATAGTTCAAATTTAGTAATTTAAAAAAATTTTTAAATTATTTAAATTGGCAAAGATTTTAAACAATAGCATCCAATTCTGTTGTACAGTTAGGGAAGTGTTATTACATATTTTTTATAGGACAATGGATAGGTACAGCCCTTCTAGAAAGAAACATGGTGATAAATGTGCCCTAAAAATTCTCATACCATTTAGCCCCCCAAAATAGGTTTGGGAATAACGCCTACAGCATAATCTGAAATGTAGACAAATATCGATGCATGAAAGTGTTTATTTCAAAGTTGTTTTAATATAAGCCAGCTAAATGTTCAGTATTGGAGAAGTAGTTATTTACAGCATATGGTAATCTGCAATCCTTAAATGCAGTATTTACACAGTGTTTCTAACGACATGCAAAATTCTTATAGTGTTAAATGAAAAAAGCAGGTTTTTAAGTTGCATATGCAATATAAACTCAACCCAGAAAAAGACTGGAAGGAAATATCCAAAATGTTAATATTTGTCCCTGAAATACTCAAAACGTTAATATTTGTTCTGTAATATTTAGATTATGGATAATTTGTGAAAGTTAGTCACAACTATATGATTAAATTGATCATTTCATGGCAGACAGCCTTTTCTTTTGTTTCTGTTCTTTTAGGTAATGTTTAGATACTATGCCTTGGAAATGAAAATGAAAGGGTTTAGGCTATGTTTCTCTAAATGGGAAAAATCAGAAAGTGTCAATGCCCAAAAATACAGCTTCATTTTTAAGTAAATTATAAATTGCAATATGAAACCAGTTTTGGAGGGTAGACTGCTTCCCCTGGTTGAGGTGAATTAATGGTTTTTTATACCGTGGTACTCTTTTTGTTCATTAGGTGTTAACGATGTACTCATTGCAGTATGGTTTTTGATGAAACAATCTAAGATGTTCATTTCTGTTTTTATAGTATGTGCAGAAGCTTATAATCCTGATGAAGAAGAAGATGATGCAGAGTCCAGGGTATGTAATTTACTGAATGAATGAATTTTAAATTGATGCCCTTGTCATAGCTAAGGAAAATGATCATAGAAAAGATGTTAACAGGCATTCAGGTTAACAGGAGACATAATGGAATTATTTTGACTATTTCTTTTCCTAGTCTCATCTCCAATAGCCTACTCCTGCTGAGTCTTGCAGAATTATTTTTATCCGAAGAGTATAAAGAGATATATTTTATCTCTTTACAAAATATATCCTGGTGAGGAAAAATGTTTTCAGCTGTCTTTCTCATAGTGATAATATTATTTTTCTTAGACAGTGTTTCTAGTAAACAAAAATACTGGGAAAGACCTTCTACTCCTCTTAATTTATAACAACAGAAAGTTACTCTGAAACAAACAAATCACAGTAAAATCACATCCAGTGTGTCAGTACAGCAGTTAGGATTATTTTTTAAATCTGTGAGTCTTCATCGTTTGCTCAGCAGCTGACTTCTTGCAGGCCCTAATGTTTTTGTAAGAATTTGTCCCCTGTGATTTCAGCAGTTTTTAAGCTATGTCTTTCAGCTCAGTTCTATTGTTTATTTAGTAAAAAGTAAACTAAGAGATAACTATGCCTGGAAATGGAAAGTAATTAAATTTCTGCACCACCCTCCTCCCCTTTTTTTGAGTACGTATGTTGCAAAAGTGCCTCTTGTTTCTTTGGCCTTAAACAGTATAAACAAAAACTTATTTTTGTAGCTCTGAATAGTACTTAAGTAAGATTGAGGTTTCTTGTGGAGAAGCAGATACTACGTCCCTAAGTCATTACATCATTAAGCTCCTTGAAACATATGTAAAATCCAGTGGTATCAGGAGGCTTACAACATGGAAGATCTTGAAATCCCATTTTATTCCTGGACCCTTGGGGATTCCCACTACCAGGGTTGTGGAAGCTCATTTCTCACTATTAGAACTTCAGTTATTTTCATGAAGTTTATAAATCCTAGCCTGGAAATGATGTTTAGGATTAAGGTATTTTTACTAATCTGTGATGTACTGTTACCCCTCTGTATAGTCTGAAAAACTAGACCTTGCCTACCATATACTTTACTATACCCGTATACTGTATCTAGCAGAAACAGTACTGGGTGGCATTGAAGATAACATGCATTCTTTATATGTGTGTATAAATGGATATGATAAAATTTAGTAATTGGGATAAGAGCAATCGAGATGAGCTGGTTTAAATTAATAAAAATCTAAATTAATGAACATTTGCAATACAGTTTAAAAACAATATGCAGTATCTCATTGATTCAAAAGCTGTTAGGCCTTGAATTTTAGCTGCCATTTAATTCATGAGGTAAATAAAGTGTTTTGGCAGGTTCACTCCAGCTAATTTCTAACAGTTTTGTTGGGGAGGCTATACCAGTTAAGATTCATTTGGCTGTGTAAAACCTAACCCTATCAAGACAAATGTGAAAAAGAAAACACTGGGGAGAGATTATCAGACAAATGCTTGGAGATCATATTGAACTGCAGAAAGCATTCAAAGGCCAAGCTGTAGGCCTGGCAGGCAGGAGCCAGCTCGCCTCTGGGGTCCATCAAGAGCCAGAGTGTAAGACTTAGCATAGTGTCTTTGAAAGGGGCTCAGCTACTCATCTCTGTTACTGTGTCTTTCAGTTCAAAATTCCAACTTCCCAAGAGTTTCTGATGCACCCAGCTTTGGCCCAGGGTAGGGCCAGGGTCAAAAAGTACAACCTACTTGGGAACCACTTCTCTAAATAAGGACAGTTACTAGAGGAGGAGGAATCTTTGTGGTTGGGCCTTTACCGTAAGAGCTGTCCCCTGTAACACTTTTTAAAGTTATTTTTGATAGTTTTTTTTTGGTATTTAATGTATTAATTATATGTTTGATTATAGCAAAGTACCTTAGGTTATCAATTAGGTTGAATATTCTCTCCTCTAAATGTGTTACTAAAAATTGTACTTATTTTGGTCTCAAAAACTATGAGGCATACCACACCACATGCTTGGGAATGATTATTACAGTTTTCAAAATTATTTAGATCCAGAAGCATATTGGGAAATATCTATAAGGAAAATGTATACTGTGTTGTGATAAAATTACATTTCATTTGGACATTTTATATTACTTCTGAGACTCACCAAATCCTTAAGTCTGTAGTATAAACAGAAATTTATCCTCTGATACGAATTCAAAGAAAATGTAAATACTTAAGACTCATTTTGGAAAATAACAGATTTTAGTTGGAATGCCTTTAATAAATGAAAATTTAAGGGTTGTCTAAATCTAGCATGTAGAAACTGGTAGAGAACAATTGATAAACTTAAGGGTAGAGTATTTCTATGTTTCTCCATAAAAATTTTTTGGAGTTCCATCTGCATATCTGGTCTGGTGCCAGATGTAAAGTGGTGAGCAAATGGACAAATCTCTGCCCTCTTGGAGCTTACAGTCTAGAGAGAGAAGCAGACAAGTGAATACATTAATGAAAAGTTAAAAAACATGAAGTGCTAAGGAAACAGCGAAACACTGTACGGATCCAAACACAAGCCCCAAGCCAGCAGGGGCTCTGATACTCTGGAATGGTTGAAACAAGCATCCTTGAGGTGAGGCTGGAAGGATGGGCAGGCAGAGAGTCTTGCCAGAAGCCCCTTAGGGCATTTTAGATGGAGCTGAGCCTGGCATCGGGGAAGGCAGGTGGAGCTGGGCCAGATGGCTGCAGTGAGGGTAGAGAAGGAAGGAATGGGGATTTAATTCTCACCAAACGTGATGGAGTCCATTGAGGTTTTAAGCTGGAGAAGGGAGTATCCTGATTTAAATTTTTGAAAGATTATTTTCAGCTCCATGTGGAGAATGGATGGGACAAATACGAAAATATCTTGTATAGATTTCTCTTGCCTAACAACATAGATACAGTGTTTTTTTTTTGTTTGTTTGTTTTGTTTTTTTTGTTTTTGTTTTCTGTTTTTTGATTTTTTTTTTTTTTTTGGTTTTGGAGACAGTCTTGCTCTGTCACTCAGGCTGGAGTGCAATGGTACAATCTCAGCTCCCTGCAGCCTCTGCCTCCTGGGTTCAAGCGATTCTCATGCCTCAGCCTCCTGAGTAGCTGGGACTGCAGGTGTGCACCACCACATATCTGTCTAATTTTTGTATTTTTAGTAGAGATGGTGTTTCGCCCTGTTGGCCAGGCTGGTCTTGAACTCCTGGCCTCAGGTGATCCACCCACCTTTGCCTCCCAAAGTTAGGATTACTGGTGTAAGCCACTGTACCCAGTCGATATATAGTGTTCTTTAAAGAAAATGTCTAAGTTTAAACCTTACTTATTAACTGGTTTTCTTTTCTTTTTTTTTTTTTAATGGAAAGGCAGCAAAAATTTAGAGCAGAAGTTGGCAAACTTTTTTTGGTAAAGTTTTTTTTTTTTTTTAACTGAAAAATGCACTGTTTTCCGAGAGTAAATAATTTAGATTTTGAGGAGTCACCTACTTTGCAACTACTCAGTTCTGCTGTAGTAGCTTGAAAGCAGCTGTAGGTAATACATCAATGAAAGGCACGTCTGTTGTGTTATATTAAAACTATGACATTTGAATTTGAATTTAATATAGATTTTATATGTCAGGAAATATTATCATTTGTTTGATTTTTTTTCCCCCAGTCATTAAAAAAATGTAAAATTATTCTTAGCCTAGAAGCCATACATACAAAAACAGCTTTGCTTGCAGGTGTAGTTTGCTGGTCCCTGGTTTAGAGTATAGACTCTGTAGCTGGCCTGGCTGGCATGAATCCTGCTCTGTACCTTATGGACTGGATGACACTGGACAAGTGATTTAGGCAAGTTGATTTCCTTAACTCTAAATTTCTTAACTTGCTTCATGGGATCTATCACTAGGATAAAATGAGTTAATATTAGTAAAGCCTTAAAATAGTACCTGGCATGTATTTATGCTACGTTTGTTTAACAAATAACATTTTTATCTGAAGTCAGGAATGAATTTTAATGAAAACCAAAGTGGCCTCTGGTACACTAAAATCACAGTTTGGGTATATTGCTGAGGCCTCAGTGACCCAGAGACAGATCCCTGAGGTGGGATCACGCCAAGCCCCAGAGGAAAAATGGGGGAGAGCATCTTCAGAGCACGTGGCTACAGTGCAGAGGAGCCGCAGTGTCAGAGACTGCACCTGCTTTCTGACTGTTTACTTTCCCCAGCGAAGAGGGATTTTACTGACGAGGTTAATTACAGAGAGTGGACTCTGGGTGCTGAGGAGTAATGGCAGGGTAAGGGAAAAGGGAAACAGGAGGAGAGCAGTAGACCATAGTGATGGAGGTGGGGCAGAGAAACAAAGACTACTGGCCGGGCGCGGTGGCTCAAGCCTGTAATCCCAGCACTTTGGGAGGCCGAGACGGGCGGATCACTAGGTCAGGAGATCGAGACCATCCTGGCTAACACGGTGAAACCCCGTCTCTACTAAAAAATACAAAAAACTAGCCGGGCGAGGTGGCGGGCGCCTGTAGTCCCAGCTACTCAGGAGGCTGAGACAGGAGAATGGCCCGAACCCGGGAGGCGGAGCTTGCAGTGAGCTGAGATCCGGCCACTGCACTCCAGCCTGGGCGACAGAGCAAGACTCCGTCTCAAAAAAAAAAAAAAAAAAAAAAAAAAAAACAAAGACTACTTAGAAATGGTCATTGGTTCGGGCACGGCGGCTCGCGCCTGTAATCTTAGCACTTTGGGAGGCCGAGGTGGGTGGATCACGAGGTCAGGAGTTCAAGACCAGCTTGGCCAAGGTGGTGAAAAACCCTGTCTTTACTAAAAATACAAAAATTAGCTGGGCGCAGTGGCGGGCACCTGTAATCCCAGCTACTTGGGAGACTGAGGCAGGAGAATCGCTTAAACCCAGGAGGCGGAGGTTGCAAGGAGCCGAGATCGCACCACTGCACTTTAGCCTGGGTGACAGAGCAAGACTCTGTCTTTAAAAAAAAAAAGAGGCCAGGCGTGGTGGCTCACACCTATAATCCCAGTACTTTGGGAGGCCGAGCCGGACAAATCATGAGGTCAGGAGATTGAGACCATCATGGCTAACACGGTGAAACCCCGTCTCTACTAAAAATACAAAAAAAAATTAGGTGTGGTGGCGGGCACCTGTAGTCCCAGCTACTCGGGAGGCTGAGGCAGGAGAATGACGTCAACCCGGGAGGCGGAGGTTGCAGTGAGTCGAGATCGCACCATTGTACTCCAGCGCCTGGGCGACAGAGTGAGACTCTGTCTCAAAAAAAAAAAAAAAAAAAAAAAAAAGGTACAAGTGGTCATTGGTAAGAGAGGTAGCAGGAAGAAGAGAGAAGAGGAAAAAGCTGGATTTCTGTGTGAAGGCTTATAGGAATTGAAAGGGGTGGGGAGAAAGACCTGAAATTGATCAGAGCGAAGCGGGCACGTGATACTGATGCACTCTCCCCATTATCCTTTCTGAGAACAGAGCTTCTCAGCAGGCAGACATCTCAGTTGCTTCGGTTTGAAGTTCTGGATGGATTTTGTGAAGTAAGAAATGACTTTCTGTTTTGTTTTAGTGTGTTAGCCTTCCTTATTTGAAGTAGGAGGAAGTGAAGTTTGGTTGGTGTGATTTGGTTAATACCTAAATTGTAAAGGTTACTTGTGCAGCAGTGGATGAGGAGGCCCCGGGATCTGCTTTGTCTGTGTTTGTGTGTCATCTTAGACTCTAGTTTGAGATGAATATTGGGCAGATAGTAAACAAAGGTTTACATCTACCTTACCTTAGAGGGGAAAGTGCAGTGACCCTTTCTCTCACTAGCTCATAGTTCTTTCACGTAGTCTATACATAATGCAGATAAATGGTCTACATATGAATAGTTTACATATAGATAATGTATCGATACTATAAATTTCCTCAATTCTTTTCAGGCTTATAATTTTCATTATTTTTTAGCCATCTGATATGGTTTGAAATGCGGATTTAAATTCCCCATTGTGACTTTTGATGTTTGTGGCTGTAAACTCCACTGCTGCCTGATTCTGTGAGCTCTGATGGTGGGGCCGGCTGCCTGAAGAGGCAGGGCACCTGCCCATCAGCTCTCGTCGTCACTCTTTGAGTGAGCATTGGAACAGGAAAGGGTGGTGTATAGGTCTTCAGGAAACCAACTCCCTGTCTGCTGCTTTTAGGACTACCCTTGCCCCTCTAACTCATTTCATAGTTACAAACTGCTCATTTTCACAAAAGAGTGGACAGTCAGTTGAGCCTCCTGCTCGTGAAAAGAGACTCGAGAGATGGCAAGCCACACTTACACACAAGGCATTCTGCCACTCTTCACCCTCTAGAATACAAGTTTAGTGAGAATATAGCACACTAGTTTCCTTGAGTTCCCCAGCCAGCCTCCTTGGACTCTTTTTTCTCTGGAACACATACTGTCTTGGAGTGGCAGTGCATGATTGCTTACTCCCTTCTAAAAATCACTTGCTTGCTGTGGGGCAGGTACATACCACATGTGTAAAAATATATTTAAATGTATAGTGCCTTATACATTTAAACATTTTACTTGCTTTCAGGGACCTTATCAAGATTCGAAAGAAAGAACTACATCCTGAAAGAGTGTTAAGCTCAGTAGAAACAGAATGACAGCAGTCCAGATTTTCATTGTAGCTGCTGACACCTGTTGTCCTTTTGTACGGGTCCCCACTGGCTGGGAGCTTTGGGGTCTTCCTAGTCAGTCACAGTTCTGTACATAATGAACTAGCTAACCTAGGGGAAAATATGCTTTTGAAAAACATTTCGGTGCTATATTGATGAATAGATACCAACCTCCCCCCTCCACAAGGTGAATTATGTTCCTCTACTTAGTAGGCTCATAATTACCAGTCACCAAAAGTGAATCTCAGCACCAATCTGAAGTGAACTTGAACACTAACAGTTCTTCTTTCTAACATTGGTTCTGATTTTTGTTAGTTTTTTAAGTCTCTTTGAGTGAGATGGTATTGGCTAATGTATTTGTTTTTTAAATCTGGTGTCCTTTTAGATTATACATCCAAAAACTGATGATCAAAGAAATAGATTGCAAGAGGCTTGCAAAGACATCCTGCTGTTTAAGAATCTGGATCCGGTAAGATAAATCTTAATAATATAAATGGATATTTTTTCCCCCAGTGACAGTGTCAAGAACTGTGCAGGGTCTTGAGTTTTGCCCTTTTTGTAAGCTGACATCACCCTGGGGTGATGGTAAAGGCCCCCTTGCAGATGCTTGCATGCACAGTAGGTTGAACTGCAGGAGAGGAATATTGAGTTTGGGGGAATATACTGCTGTTGGAGCAAGAAGTAAACAAGCCTGAGGTGTGTGTCCTATGGAAGATGTTATCTCATCTCTCAAGATACTATGGCCCAGGTAAAAAGAGGTTAGGACCTTGCACTCTTTGCACGCAGCAGGGATATGCAGGGATGCTCAGGGCCCACCCAGGATTGTTTCTCTTTACAGCCAGTAATAGTAATTATATTTGAATGTGTATAAACTCTATATTAGATAGATTAAAAGTAACATTTCACTTGACTTTAAGGTGAGGGTTTTTTGTTTGTTTGTTTGTTTGTTCTTTATAAGGATTTGGAAATCTCTAATCTTTGGGTTTGGTATTTCTAGAATACCCACTCTTGGTATGAGTGTGTGTGCTGTTCAAACTTTGCCTTGCACTGTGATGTACATGTTCTGCTTCCTTCATCTCAGATTATGCTTAGTCATTGCTATATAGTCATGTAGGAGCAAACCTCTGCTGCCATATTCCAAGTGTGAAAATAGAGTCAACTTTTGTGACTTACCTCCGCTTTTTCTTTGGTCAAACTCAGCATCTTTGAGTTTTTGGTGATGTCCTAGAGGAGAAGCATTAAATCAAGACCTGCTCTTTTTAAAATGAGGTCTTCTTAAAAAGGACATTTTTGTAAAGATTCAGGTACGGCATCATACCAGTTCTATACTGTGTCATATTTACACTCAAATATTTTTAAAATCTCCTTTGTTTCTAGTATAATTTATGTTTATATTGTGTCTTCCAGGAACACAGTACATTGTGTGACTTTGGAGATTTATGTTAGGTCCACACATTACAAGTTTGTCTGTCCGTCTCTGAGGCTCCATTACTGGCTTTGACAGACCTGAATTTGACCAGACCCAGGATCCATCAGTCACTTCATCTGTCCATTGTCTGAGGGCAGGAACTGTGTCTTTTGTATCTTTGCTTCACTCTTTACGTAGCAGATGGCTCGCGGCTCTCTACATGCACTAGGCTCTCAAAAGAAAACATGGGACTGAGACAAGAATGCTTTATCCTTTTGTTACTGGAAAGAGGTCCTGATCCAGACCCCAAGAGAGGGTTCTTGGATCTCGCGCAAAAATGAATTCAGGGTGAGTCTGTAAAGTGAAAACAAGCTTATTAAGAAAGTGAAGGAATAAAACAATGGCTGCTCCATAGAGACAGCAGCCCCCAGGGCTGCTGGTTGCCCATTTTTATGGTTCTTTCTTGATGATATGCTAAACAAGGGGCGGATTATTCATGCCTCCCCTTTTTAGATCATATAGGGTAACTTCCTGATGTTACCATGGCGTTTGTAAACTGTCATGGTGCTGGTGGGAGTGTTAACAGTGAGGATGACGAGAGGTCACTCTCGTGGCCATCTTGATTTTGGTGGGTTTTGGCCGACTTCTTGACTGCAACCTGTTTTATCAGCAAGATCTTTATGACCTGTATCTTGTGCTGACCTTCAGTCTCATCCTGTGACTTAGAATGCCTTAACCATCTGGGAATGTAGCCCAGTTGGTTTCAGCCTTATTTTACCCAGCTCCTATTCAAGATGGAGTTGCTCTGGTTCATGCACCTCTGACACTTTTCTAGTTATCTAAGTATACATATTTAATCCTAAATAATAGTTTCGGATAGATTTGTTATTTGTAATAAAATGATGGTGTTTAAATAATATCTAACTCAAGTCTTGTTAAAAGTTATGCCAGGCCGGGTACGGTGGCTCATGCCTGTAATCCCAGCACTTTGGGAGGCCGAGGTGGGCATATCACGAGGTCAGGAGATCGAGCGCATCCTGGCTAGCACAGTGAAACCCTATCTCTACTAAAAAAATACAAAAAAATTAGGCAGGCATTGGGGCGGGCGCCTGTAATCCTAACTACTTGAGAGGCTGAGGCAGGAGAATGACATGAACCCGGGAGGAGGTGGAGTTTGCAGTGAGCCGAGATCTTGCCACTGCGCTCCAGCCTGGGTGACAGAGCGAGACTCCGTCTCAAAAAAAAAAAAAAAAGAAGAAAAAAAAAGTTAAGCCAAACCCTTGAACATAGTTACAGTCTCATGGTATGAATTCATTAGTTCAGAGTGGCCCTCATATATCCTTGTCCATTCAAGTTTCTTTGCTCAGTTCATTCAAGGCATATTTACCGAGTACCATCACTTAGCAGCAGTGGGAGTTAGTGCTGAGGAAGCAAAGACCTGGTTCAGTACCCTGAGCTGGTATCAAAGCTAGCCTGTGGATTACATGATCACATCGCAAATGAAGGACCAATGTAGTATTTAACTCTTTTGCTCCAGAGTCACACAGAAGGCAGTGGTAAAATCAATCCTTAGTTTTACACTTAGAGGTAGGCTTTATTCAAGAATTCTTTATTTTTTGATTAGAACTTTACATGGGAGAATTTCAGAGGTCACCAAGAACAGTGCTCTCAAGCTTTAATATGCTGATGTATCATCAGGGGATCTTGTGAAAATGCAGATTTGGATTCTCATGGTCTGGAGTGGAGCCTGAAAAGTCTGCATTTCTCACAAGTTCCCAGGTAATGTTGATGTTCTTGACCCACAGCATACTTTGAATACCAAGGACTAGAGCTAAATGTGAAAATGTTCAAGTTCAGTATTTGGTTGCTGTTACGTATGTTATGTTTGCATGCTTTCCTATTCAGTGAACCAGTATTTTAATGCTTCAGCGGGGACTAAGTCGTGAACTTCTGATGTCTGTAGGGTTAAGTGATACACAGGCATAAATGAAATCATTGCTAGTTATGCTTTCTTGGGATGTCGTTTTTTCTGTTCTGTTTTTTAAATTAAATTGATCTTCCTTGCTATTTCAACTTTAGCTCTTTAAAAGCATTGTGAAAATTTTGGTTGCATTTAAAAGTATTAATATTTAAGAAAGCTTTTGCTAATATAGTCTGGCAAGGAGCATCTTTGCTTAGTGTGATTATTTTGTAAACATAGGAGTGTTCTAGACTCTTTTCACTGCTTTGCTGAAAGTCTTCAATATGTATTTTAAAAACCAGCTCACAGAGGGAAAAAAATTCAGTTTCTTTTTTTTTTTTTTTTTTTTGATGGGTCTCGCTCTGCCACCAGGTGGAGTGCAGTGGCCGGATCTCAGCTCACTGCAAGCTCCGCCTCCCGGTCACACCATTCCCTCCTTAGCCCCAAGTAGCTGGCTACAGGCGCCCGCCCCTCGCCGCTGGTTTTTGTATTTTTGTAGAGACGGGTTCACGTGTCAGCCAGGATGGTCTCGATCTCCTGACCTCGTGATCCCCCGTCCCCTCCAAAGTGCTGGGATTACAGGCTTGAGCCACGCGCCGGCCAAAAAAATTCAGTTTCTGAATTGTCACGATCGAATGTTTTATAGAGAAGAAGCAAATGTATTTACATAGTAGTTTTCAAAAGACCCTTTTTTGAATTTGAGCTCAGACCACCTTGAATTACTCCCTTACTATTTAAATCCTTCCAGAGATGATATAGGATGTAAGTAAGTAAAATTTATTTTTCTCAACAAATTACCACCTGGAATAAGACTTTTAGCCCAAAACATGGCAGATTGGTGGTTTTAGTTTAAGCTCATACTATAAAACAGCTTTCTAGTTTTTTATGATACACATTATTTACAGTAACCCAAATGTGTTTTAATTGAATTACATATTCAGCTCAGATAATCTGCTTATCATGCAGCTCCTTTCATTTTAATTTCTTGACTACTCACTGTTTCAAGACCTGTTTAAGGTATTGGAGGCCACAGAGATATTTAGAGATGGTTGTTGTCCTTTTGGAATTTATAATTTAATGAGGGTACAAACACATCTGCAAAGCATGTTGGGAAAACATGATACATGCTGTAATATGGTCAGGGCACGGTGAGAAGATGTCTGTCTCTTAGCTTACCTTAATGGTTCAAAAAGCTGGAGAGGTCACTGAGCTGTGCCCCCGAAAATGAGGAGGGAATCACCAGGTGAGGAAAAGTACAGAGTATTATCACTAGAGCCTAAAGTGGCAACCGTCCAGTGATGGATGGCCTCCATCTTGTGATGGGAGTGATGGAGCCAAGATATGGGTGCTGTATCAGGAAGGCCCATTCTTTCTTGAATGCTGTGCTGTGGCACTGGACTACCTTGTAGGCAATGGGCACAGCTGAAGAATTTTAGTCAGAGAAAGTAACTATCAGATTTTTCTAAGGTCACTTTGGTGGTAATGTCGAGGAGGAGTTAAAGAGGGGAGAAAAATGGGGGAAGCAGACAAGAACAAAAGAGTGGAGCCCAGTAGAAAACCAGGTCATGATCTAGGGAAAAGAAATGGGTCTGAACTCCAGGGAAGGGGGAAAGGGACAGACAGAAAAGAATGGTTTCACAAAAAAGGATTAGCAGAATTTGGTACTTGGTGATCGATTTAGTTGGGGACTGAAGGAAAGTGTCTAGCTGGAGTGACTGTGAAGTTGCTACCTTTTCCTGAAATGGGAAAACTTGAAGGAGGAAGGGGAAACTACTAATTAGCAAGAAGAATGATCTTGGCTTTGTGTCTACTATCTCATTTGAATTTCCTGAAGTCATTATTTGGCTTGAAAATCTTGCACTTCCTAGACTTCAGAACATTTTTCCTTGGAGAGCTGTATATTCATATGTTGAGCACAGCGTTTATAATTATTAATCTCTTTGAAGATATTCTTTTCATGAATATTTTAATGCTCCACTCAGTAGGCCATTTTCCTTCTGAAATATTTCTAATTTGAGGCTAACTGAAACAATTTTCTTAGGCTATATGATAGGCTCTTTCATTAATGAAGAGTAAATTGTTATTTCTTAAGTGAGTCAGA